CCCTCATTCCAGCAGGGGAGACCAGGGGGCTTCCAGTGGCAGCTCTGTCATTGCTCAGCTGGATGCAGATGTCAGGAAGGGCGTGGCTGAGGCTCTTGGCTCCCCACCACCCTGGCTCAGGGTGTTTCTGGTGGCAGCTCAGTGGTTGTCACTGGGCTGGTTGTGGATGTTGGGGGCCATGGCTGAGGCCATCGGCCCCCTCCCACCCCAGCTTGGGAGCCCAGGAGGCTTCCAGTCCTTCTAGGTTTTATAAGTGTTCTTTGGTGGTGTTAGACCTTCACTGGTTAATATCAAACTTTGTCTCTGGTCTGTGGGTATTTCGCTTTTTCTTTTAGTTCTGTGTTGGATTATTCACTGTTCCCACCACTTAAACTCTGCACTGGAACTAATTTGCTGTCCTTTGCTTATTTCTGAAGTGGGGGAACTTCCTGTGGGGACCAGCACTTGAGCTCTGTGGTTGAGCTAAATTGCTGCTTTGCTGCTGATTCCCTGGGGAAGCCTTTTTGTACAGCTCAGATTTTAATGGCTGACCTTGTAAGCACTTTCAGATCCTGTGAGGTCCAGAACACCTGGGCTGCATGGAAACTCTGGTCTGGGCCTGAGTCTTCTCAGCAAACTGCACCCCCTGCAGTTCTGTATTCCTGACCAGTCTCCACTGAGTGGTCCTGTGCTGATTGGAGGGCAGATCAGCTGTCCTTGCTGTGCCCCAGTGTTCTCTTGGTGGGCCCGTCTCCCCCACCTCCCCACACTCCAAACACTTCCCACAGGATGGGCCATGCACCAGTCCCTTGCAGTGACTCACTGGCCTCTGAGAGGCTCCTTTTTCAGTTGTCTGTGGCTCCTCGCTCCTATGTGGGTCTATGGGAGCCCTGTCAGTGGTCTTGCTGGCCAGGGGGCTGCCAAGGCCCTCTTTTCCTCTGCAGTCTCCAAGCAACTTCATAAGAAGGGCACAGCTGCAGCTTTTGCCAGCTCTTACTCCGTGTGCTCACCAGGGCCAGCCTTGAAGTGGTCGGGCTCAAAACAGTTGGAGCGGTTCTTTCTTTCTGTCATCATGGCTTCTCCTGCCTTCATGTACTCCTTACATCTCCCTCCTCTTGCTCTGAGCTCTAGCAGCCCCAGCTTGGCTGTCATTGGTCACTGCTTTTT